CCACCCCCGCTTGACAACTCACTGACAGTGCTGGATTTATGCACCAATTTACCAGCTCGCGCGTGAAATGCGCAGCTACTTACCTCCCAATCATCGGTGAACGAAACTGTGGCAGCTACAACCAGTGTACGACCAGTACGCGGTTCTTACAGCTGACAATGATGATGAAAATCCAAATCGAGTAACTGAACAAAGACCTAAAAACCCGACTGATCACCTGGGAAAACTGAGAACTTGAGCCTACTTTAGAAATTTGACGACCAGATCCATTGCTAGTGTTGGGTGGCCTCAGCGAATTCGTAACGGGGTAATTAGAAAGCCAGTGTACCGTTGTGCATCTAGTACTTCGATCACAGAAAATACGATGAATTGGCTATGTGCTACCATACGGAAACTTCGTGTTGCTTTCCGGGTCTCTTACGGAACGACACAATCCAGGGATGATCAGTATGTGAGTTGGTCGAAAGGTATGAAGAGGATAACGAAAAGACAGGATGCTGCTAGAGCAGTCCATCTTCCGGAGTGGGGACCTTGGCTGGAAGTATAATAGGATACGACCAATTTCAACGCCGTTCGTCAGTCAGCGTCTATTCATATTGTGTGAATGACAGCATGAAGTTGTAAATACCTCAGGATGACTGAGATAGGATGGCATCAGGTCACTCCGTTGTCCGCTATTTTCTGCTTTCTTCCTTGAGGATGTTAAAACAACTTTCTAGGTTACGACATTTAAACATCAGTGTCAATACGGATGCTTTCGTGCATGGCGATGATGACTGATCAGCACAGAAACTCGAGAACCGACAAGAAATAAAACAAAACGACGATAGCATTTTAATGGTAATAAAAGAATGTCTTTTATTACGAAGCATGGTTAACAAATCTGCAAGTCTCTCTGGATCGTCGAATAGGGGATAGGCTACAAAAGTCAGTGTTCCACACACACCGCTAAAAAGACGCGGAAACCGCATTGTTTTATGTCAGTTTCATAAGTAGTCAGGCCAATCTTGTGCTAAATTCAACGAACACAAAATTGCGTACACTTTTAGAGAAATGCTTAGACATAAAGCTGTGCTCCGCTTGAAGCCGACTCACGTAGGATGCCATCATGAAATATGAAACCAACAGTAACAACTCGCTCGGTTCTAACAACTGGACAACATGAGTAGCTAGAAGTACCTACCCGAACGAATGCACCATATCGAATGAAGCAAAGGATCACATCAATTTATATTTGGCATGCGCCTTAGTTTGTTGTTGCAGTCAACCAAAACCACACGTGACCGGTCATACTAAATACAGTTGATGAGCAGTAGATCGCTTTCCTGGTTCCATTCTTTTCTGAATAGCGGTAAATTGTGTATTGCAAATCGCGATCGAAATCGGCTGCCCCATTTATCGACCTGAACCGTGCGAGGGACAGCGACTTTACATCCACGAAATTATAAAACTGGGAAGTTTCTTCACCGTCGTCGCGAAAACCGGCATTGCCAAAATGTCTCAGTTCGGGAATATAATCGACAGTGTCATGGTGAATGAAGTTGAAAGCGCAGTGTTGGCCTTGGAGTGCTTCAAACCTCAGGTAAATGGCTGGTCTGTCAAGCTTGTTTCAAAATAAGGATCTCTGGCGTGGGTCCAGGCATGAAATGACTCGATGGTGCCTGTTAAAAACCTCCTTTTGAAAGGTGAAGAACAGCTTCGGTGATGTCTTAGTGCAGCTGACGGTGATTTACTGCAAGTTCAGTAGTTCATGACAAATTCGAACCGATTTCGTGACAGCACTGTTCTAATGGATCGAACTGTTGGCGGCTAGAGGACCAGTTTTCCGACATCAAAACTAATCAGCATTGCATTTGCGCCACACAAGTGGTCGTCCACTCGTCGGAGTGAAAATGTTAAGGGATGCACTGATTAAATCCTTTATATTTGAGGCGTTGGACCATCTATTTAACTAACAAAATACCTTACCTATCCGCTGTAGCGTCAAAACACTTTCTACACGGATAAAAGATAATTTCGATGATAGAGACCTGGTTGTGTCGTTTCATCTACTTAAGATGGCTCCAGAAGGCCCGCTGCATTGAGTTACCGTGCATGAATTGATTATTCAAGGCGTGGACGGAAGACCTCGCAACCACAAAAGGTAAAAGTAAATAGGCTTGCTGAAAAATCACTGGACTAACTCGTTGGGTTTCCTGACCACCTGTTAGTGCGCGCAACAGACAGTTCCCCCGCGTGAAGTTTTTGGTTAATTAGATGGTATGATCCTTTTTGTCCTGAAACTACAAACTTCGGTCCATAACATCTGTCACTATGATATAGTCAGCAGAAAGTGAAAATTCCAGGTAAATGAACTCGACTGGTATAGGTTGCTAAGGTCCAGAATAACAAAACAGTAGTTCTTGAGACTGCACAAGCTGATGAGTTCGCACCGGACAACACTGGTGGCTAATTGAAGTGTACAACTAAGGATAGGGTTAGAGCTAGCATGGAAGGGTCACCCTAAATTCAATATTCAAAACCCCAGTATTAACCCTAGAGATGTCGCTGCTCTCCTGTGAGTTGGCCTATCTCTTCAGCCTTTATCTATTCAACCCTACTCATCAGATCATTGTCGTGTGCGAAGATGTATATTTCTGGTTTCGTTTGCGTCTATTACATTCTCTACCAACAGGACGTATGCTATGTGTCTGAGCTGCTTCATACCATATCCGTCACAAATCCTCTCCATGAGGAATAAACGGTTGTCGCACACTCTGAAACCTCGCGTTGTTCAGTACCAGGGGTGATCACGACATCAGAAATCGAAGTTTCGAAACTAAGTTGGTGCGGAATTGAAGACCAGTTACTTAGGTGTCCAAAAAATGAGTACTAATTACGGAGGTCCCTTGGTGGACGGAGGGCAAACGACGGATAACCGTACAGAACTTACCCTTAGACTGCGTAGGTGTACTCCCGGGTTTTTGGATGGATCCGGAAAATTGATGACATATGTGTTTGCCTGGAAGAGAATCAATAGGGAGGGATACAATGGATAGGAAGTAGACTTTGAAAGTCAAGGGCAAACTGAAACACGGGTTTACTATGCCGCTGTTCCTATCTGGAGGGACAGCTACTCTAACCAATTTTGGTTGGTCCCACTAGATGGCCCCTCTCAGGAGCCAGGGACAAATGTTTGCGCAGTAAAGTAATAAACAATCGTTCAGCTGTAATTCCCCTCGGTACCTAGCTGCCATGCCACTCGAAGGAAGCACGAGGGCTTGGATACTACAAGGTTGCCCAAACCTGGACAGAAGTCGAGAGGCAGAGGTCGGGTTCGAAACACGGACCTTCCAGTCAGTAAATCTGCGCTCTAACCAGATTGAAATTAGTGAGGCGGAAGTACCTAGGTAGATGTAACGCAAAAAACGACAGAAATTTTAAATAATGATGTTCTAATAACATTCTACTGCCATAACATAGTTATGACGCTAAAGTTCTGTAGTTACTACTATTACTACTACGCATGTTGCACAGGTTAATGTTTCAACAGTTACAGTCTGTTCTTTGAAAATGGTCAATACAATAAAAGATAGTAGAGTACAGCATCAGAACTAAGGACAGGCGCCACCTATTGAGGGGATACATCGAGTGTTGTCGGGCCTCTCGTGAGATAATATCAACAGGTTTCAATCAGCCACTTCCATTTGACCTGTCATGGTGGTAAAATGGTTTGGATCGTTGAGGCCGTTGCCTCACTTTTTGGCCACTTGCAGCCCGGTCGGAGGGGAACAGCTGTCAACCGCTATGGTGATCATATTCCGATAGATCCACACCCGTGTGCACACCAATCATGTAGTTAACAAAACGACACTCACTCCGACTCATCGTTTACAGAGTATCGCCAATGACTCCATAGGTTTGCCTTAATGCAATGGTGGTCATATATCGACACACCGACTGAATGGGTGAACAAAATCTGGCGAGGGAAATCAGGGATGTAAATATACACGGTAACATGCGAAGACACCGCCAGTGGATTGGGTACACAAGATCAGTTTCAGGAGGCAACGAACAGGATTGCAAGGTTAGACTTTCCAAAGCGCCCCGAACTTTGGACGGCAAAAAACTAATTTGCAGCCCTTGTTACCTTCAGGAGATTCTCCTAGTTGTGAAGGGATCTACCCCCTTCTTCAAAAGAAACCGATGGTACGACTAACCACACAGGATCACTCATGAAACCCAGCTGAAGCCTAATTCGGCCAGGCAGGAGACAGTCATTCTTTAAAAATTTCGTCATCCAAGCCTTTAACCTGCTTATCAACCAGCATTTGGGGAACTAGCGGCAAGCGCCACAAAATGAGAGGAAAATCTTCAGTACAGTCAGACACCTGTGTGATAGGAGGGCACAATCGCGTACGTTCGTTTAACCTAGACCTTTTCCTACGACACATCTGGTGCCCAGTTGAAATTTGTCACCCAACCAGACAAAGGATGAGGAAAATTGTAGTGAGCCATGTAAACGTCGCCCACACTGTCATGCAATGCACCGCCTCGTTTCATCCCCAGCCAAAGCACCAGTGATTTATTTTTTGACGCGAGATAGGTGTTAGGTTCCACCAGTCAAGTTCGTACGAAAATGACTGGCGTGATATCAATGGTGGGATAACTGACAGGTTTTATGGTAGGAGAAAAGCTGTGTACCACCAAGCTGGTCTGCAAGCCAGACCATCAACAATAGTTCAGTAAAAGTTTTCCATTTCAAGACCATTCTGTCTTAGACAGCCTATTGCTCAAAGGCCATACTTAGTGCAGCCTTGAACGAGCAAGCTAGTGACATGGCATGGGAAGAGGTACAGGTGAAAAACATTAATGGTCGTACCCTGCTGTCACCAGAAAACGGATATCTGAATCTGATGAGTTATCTCTGGTGTAGTGGATTTTGCTACTAAGACTACGGGCGCAACTCATGTTGAAGATCGAACAATGGTTAAACTCTGCGATCATATTTCTGCTGAAGCCTTTGATACTATGCGAAATCCCGGCATTTGGAGCTGAGTCACTCCCCTGGAAGATCAGTAAAGACTCTGGAAGAGTAGTGACTAGCTCCCCAGTCGCTCAAATCATGAAGCAGTGGCCATTGGAGATGACCCACAATTATATGTCGGGAAAATCACTTACATAAAGATGGACACGCAAAAATTTCACCACATGGACATAAACTCACCAAAGCGGAGTTCGCCGTACTCGTAGCAGCACCTAACGAAGCTGACAGATCACCGGTACCACCAAGCGAACCAGTCAAACTGACCGAGCTGTCTGGTGCACCAACTGAGTACAGACTGGTTGGTACAGATACTGGCAAAGCGGCTCGTTTCCGCTGCGCACCAGCGGCAGAACTTGCAGTAGATGCACTTCCTGGAGCTTGCGTCGCAGGCGGAAACAAAGCTTCCAAACTGGAATCTACTGTTCCAACCGGACGATCAGTGCCTCCGTCTTGATCCCGAATCAAACTGTCCGCCTACAGGATGGAAGAGGATGACAAATAGGAGTAGTTAAAATAAATAAAGCAGTATCTTACTGGAGGGACTGAATCGGTCAAGTTGTACAAAACGTCATGTACTGCGAACCAATTTATCCAGAAGAGATCTATGTCAGATGATGAGTGATGTTGGCGTCCCCATAGATACACATGCAGTACTCTCTCCAATGCAACCCTCCCAGTCAGGAGCCATTGCTCCAGCGTGACCAGTGCGTTCCCGAAATGCGTTCTGCCGAATATACATTCGAAGTGGATTCCCGTGTAATCCGATACGCGAACGGTTTTTTACTGACTTACCCGACCTTTTCTGTCTGACAAAAGAAGGTAAACTAACACTCAACATCGAAGCCCAATCGAACAGTCTGGCCAGACGTCCTACGCGCCATATGTATGAACGCCTGGTGCACACAAAGACAGACAACAAGTACGCATCGGGCGTATTTCCAAATAACTGTCTCGGCCAGCTCCCTACTCAACAACAAACATGCTAGGATAATACACCTACAATTTCACATGATATCCAAACCTGCTCAGTTGGCACTTCCTTTGACTACTCACGGTGATGCGAATGAATGGCCGTAATCACGAGCGGCGAAGAGGCATAATATCGTATCATAGTGACATTTCAGTCACCAATGTAAAGTGTGTCCACATCGTTCTTGTCGGTCAGTGAAGCCGAGTAGGATCATCTCACTGTGGTCGGCAACACTGGTGAGACTACCGGCGGCCAACCTCTGACCAGACTGCGGACAGACCACGGACAGTTAAAAACAAGGAAGTCATCGGACGAGCCACATAAGTAAAAACCTTCGACTCGGAGTAAGTAGGATAAGCAAAAATGTCGAATTCTCCCTCCCCGGACAAACCAAGCAAGGAAACTGTATAACAGAACACCACCTATGCGATGGCACCCAAAGAGAAAGTTCACGAACCTGAGAAATCAATTTCTGCAAATCCTGCTTTTTCCGTTCTCGTTCACGGCGACGAGCTTCAATTTTCCGCAGTTCCTGGACAAGTCGCTGCTCTTCTTCCACTTGATCTTTCGTGCGACCATACAACAAGCTCAACTGCTGTTTGCGACGACGTTCATGAGCAGCGTCATAGCGTAAACCTTTGGACAAGTTGGTTCCACGAACCTGACCAAAGGACACAGAGGGAACCGATAACTCTACTAACTGAAAAATCAATAAAGCACAGATGGTCTAGGTAAAGGAGAGATGCTGTTACGGGTAATAGTCACAGCGACTGGTTGTAATTTGCGGTTTTACTGGACTGATCACTCCGAAACGTTCTTCTGCAAATCCGTTCCCCCGTGGTAATGTTATCTCAGGTGAATACAGGTTCACCGTACAGCATGATATATCGCTTCTATACACTTAAATTCTAATCGAATAACATCCAATTGTTCTGTCAATAATAAGAATTCAGTTGCAAAGATATTGAATAGTGAATCCGTCAACTCCCATAACCAATACCACCCGTAAAAACGTGGTTGAGCACACTAGTCGAAACAGATAGGCTATCCGTCTCTCCAGAATGAAGCGTATTTAATATAGGATCCCGGAAAAATGCGAATTCGGGCACACTGGGCAGGGGGGCATAAGGCGGAGGGATGAACGGCTTACGTTGTGCGACTGGCATACACAGCTACATGTTCGTATAAGGAGCGTCATTACAAAATTTCACACACTTTAGGAATACCGCAACTGAAAACAGCCAGAGGATCATGCTGATTCGATAGATGTTGCGACTGATGAGTAAAATGCTCAGATAGGCAAGCTAAAAAGAGAATGTGTTGCGAAGACGTTCGTATTGACTAAGTTTCATAAGATCATCATCGCTATGGAAAATAACATCACTGGCGATGCGAGACCCTAAAGATTTGTTGTTATGGTACGAAGCCAATCGGGTTGGTCTTAGGAAGTAGTCATTCTTTCTCATCCGTTAAGCGATGCTTCCACAGAACACCTTTATTACTGTTATCGAATTCCGGGAAAATTCAGGTCTACGAAAAAGGAGCGGCATTTTCCACTCACGACTCCTTAATCACGATATGCTTAGTGGAAAATACACAGTGAAAATCACTACAACCCCCAAAATAGCACCCAACCCAGTTACTCCATCTTTATATTCGCAAGGACCGGTTCCGAGGAAACGGGCAACTGAGGACAATCCGCTGTGAACAGGGAGCACAGGTTGAGCGAATCAATTCAGTAACTACCAAACGGTGAACAATTAACTCACTTTGTCCAGTATCGCAACTATTCCATAATATCGTTCCTTCAAGTCTTCGATGGAAGGGCGTCCAGGGAACCTCTCTGAATCCCATCTATCCCGCATATGGATGAAACGCAAGTCGAAACGACGGGCTAGTTCCATCAAGTGTGCTGTTTTCTCCTCATTCCACTTTGGGTACTGTAGCAAAGACTCATATTCTTCTGGGGTGTACTCAGGTATGGTAGCGTGCTGAAGAAACAGAAGGTTACAGAGACGACAAACTAAGATAATGCACACAGCAAAGGCTATTCAGCTAACTAGACTGAATCAAACAAACGGGCGTGGTAACTAGTGAAAAATAGTTATTTCGTTCGTCCCACGGCTGAATCTAGGTATCATCTGACTTTTGCGTAAGCTCAAGACTAACAGAACAAACGAACCAATCGGGTTATCGGCCACGTAGTCTGAATAATAAGTCATCAGGCACTAACAGGTGTTCAAAGATGGGAGTCAACCATAGTTCGAAGACGGCAAAAATGCAGTGGGTTTACAAAAAGCTTAGCCACATGGGTGCTTTTATGCTGATTGTAATTCATCAAGTGGGTATGGAGGGGTATTACACGCAACATTTTTGGCAATTTCAGCCCGTCACTCTCGGGTAGCGTCGGCCAGTTGCATAGCTGTTGACCTATTCAGACAGTAAGCTGACTACTGGTGGACAGTAAATGTTTTGTCCTCACGGAAGACCTGACCGACCGAACGAATCACGCACTCGAATCGTTATATGGAGAGAAAAAGTTTATGACCCTTCAGCAAAGAGTCATGTGTCCGGCCCTTTTACATGTCTGTTTGATTATCCCCAATAGGACCGAGGGTACTCGTATAACTGAGTCTTTCAGGGGTCATTCGCGACTTTACTATAGACGTCAATGAAGTAGAAATTCCAGGGTCATCCATGAGGGTCAGGAATAATTTCGACTTCTCATGTTCTCCTGCAGGCAATTGTTTCAGATGTATTCGGTACAAAAGTAGTGTATACGGGGTGAAAAACCCTAACATTACGGTTAAAAACGGGCAATCAAAGTGAAATACAGCATTAAAACGGTTGTTTGGAGATTCCCCCAATGACGGCATGGTCTATCCACTAACTCCAGGACCGCAACAGACATCGATACAGGCCATGCTTCTCTTTGCAGTGAACGAAAACGTCCCACGAAGCTATGATAAACGCAGTTTGCTCACTTATCTAAACTATCACAGTTTTGATGCCTATCAAATCCGCATCAATAAATCCAAAAGCTTCAAATGCCACACAAATTATAGTGTACCTTGTTGTATCGAGCAAAGGGGTACTCTTCTTCTGGTTCGCCCTCCGGTCGTTCTCGACGCCAGTGATAGAGAACCAACCCATCCTGGAAGAAAAACAAAAATATGGTGCAAAAAGAGAATAAATGGTCTGACAAGTAAAGATACCAGTCAGAACTATGGATGGATTTAAACGCACTTGTCGCGCTGGGTTTGTGAATGGTGTCCAGTGCCAGCGACGGACGCGCCCGACCCCAATAACAGCTTTGGGTTGTCGATATTTGATGGAATCATCGGTAGGCATCAGTGGCGGTAATTCACTAGACGAAAAAGCGAGGACCGATTATTTAAATAGAGTCAAGTATTATGTGGACAGGAAGATGAATACTTCGGAAAAACAGCAAAGTTCAACCCCCTCCAGTGTCCCAACAAACAAGGATGGAACGAGATGTATGAGGCTTTCGTATTCTGCTCGCAAGAGCTGCAGTTTGTAATTTTTCACCACTTCGACGCGGAAGTGCAGTGCACATAAAAAGCACAGGGGTTCGGATACTGCCGGGTCAAGTTTAGACAGGAACAATCGAGAAGCTTAGGCTGGGTTCAGAACAAGAATATCTCGGCAAGTAGCTTAGCGCATATGAGCTCAGACTAAAACTGTAAGTAAAAAAGAAACGACAGGGCTTGCCTTGTAAGTGAGCCGCCTTAACTGACCTGGAGAGGAGTGCAGCTCACGCTCTACCTAACCACTATCATGCGGAATAAACCTATCTTTACCCGTGGTTTGCCATTCCACAGTATCCTGGATACGACTCACTCTACACTGCAAGGTCTACTTATCTAGCTGATTCCACACGATAGCAGAATCTTGAGTTCAATGCACAAATAGTTTTCATAGTTTGTCGGACTTGTGACCCGTCTGAATTCATTCCCCCAATTTTACTGATATGAATGGTGGCAGGATGGATTCATCCCGGGATGAGCACAAAACGCGTTGCATCCAGAAAAGGATGCTGAGCGAAGCCACCGCAAATCACCGCCGACTATGACTACGTGATAGTTTTGTGGTTTTGAGTGGCAATCGTATTCTAAAACAGTCTGTTGTTGAGGTGAACCTAAGCTCGTGTGTTTTACTGGGACCTAACCTATATATGCCAATTTTGATGACATACACCCATATATACACGTGGATGTCCGCGATTCAACTGTCGGCTTCGCGTGAGAACAGTGTTTAAAAAAGAGGAACGATGTAAAGAAAGTACTGAGTTGTCCTTATGTAATTTGGCCTGATTTCGATGTGCATTTTATTGTGTGAATGTTTACGATATCTAATGGTATGAGTGTTACATGTATTAATGTTTACATGGTTATCGACGCTAGCTTGGTGCTAAAGATCGCATTGCTACTCATGCGATGGGGAATCACGCGCGAGTAGAGGACATCTGTAGTGGTGCACTCTGCTAGGCCCTGTAATGTCAGTACATGTTAGTATGCAAGTCTTTTCTGAAAAATATCAAATCTTCGTTGGTTAATATGATTAATTAGACAAGAGGATGCAAGACACGGCATGTAATTCCTTCCGGCAGTGAGTAATGGCATTTCGGACCTAAGTACCTAAGTACTCAAAGGTTAATAAAAACTGCGTTATGGTTGGATGGGTTGCAGATTTTATCGGCAGCAGATCCTGATAGCGGAAAAGGATGTTACATCAAACGAGATGTGACAATCCACACTGAAAATGCGAAGAAAAACAAAATGGGAAAGTATCACCAGGGCTTACTTATTCAATGTCGAATGAAGCCCCCAGACTTCACGAGGAACATTTTCGGGGCGTTTGGGCTGAGAAGCTTGACTCTTTGACTTTTTCTACCCAGGATATTAGATGAAAGTGGTAACCAGGACATGTACCTTGTCCCTTCGCGCCAACAGGGTATCCTTATCAAAAATACTTTTCTTAGGTCCAGGATCATCAATATCCAGTATATCTAGGACGTCCAAAGCCGTGCTCATACCGACTGGTATTGTCCTGTGGAAGAACAAAGCACGATGAGTGGGTAGAATCACATGCACTGATGTTCCTTGTAGGGTGGAAACGGAGTAGAGAGGGGCATCAACGAACAAAGAACTGAGGATAAGTGGACATTGATACTTCATGAACTTTGCTATTGTTTTAAGGAAGTCAAAATTAGAATCCAACAAGACGTGAAAACAATATGCAAGCTCATTACTCAGGATACGAGCTTTCCAAGCCCTACTTGGTGACGATAATCAGACCAAAGTATCCTTTTCGTTTCCATTCTCCTTTGATGTGGACATTAGAACTTAGTTACTGAAATGAACTGAGCAAGACGCAGAAGTTACTCCTCAACGCCAGGGCGCGGAATCTCAATGCTTCATCAATTTGAAGTAGGACGCGGATGTGAAAAAATAGCTCGGCTGTGGCACCCTTTCGGCGAATAGCTGCCATGCAACTCAGAGGCACGGGAGCTGAGAACTTGTCAGGTTGGCTGGAGCAGTCGAAAAGCCAGGATTGAGTTCACTCAGTATTTCACGCCTTCACAGCCGAACTACTTCTTGCTGTGATGGTTCAGTTACCCTGTCATCCCCAGCAGTCGTGAGAACGTAGTCAACGCCATCTTCTGAAGGTCCACAAAGAAGGTTCAGTTAGGGACAGGGCAAATTTCCCACAAGTTGACGGTGTTTAAGTGAGTGACATTAAGCTAGTTACTGTCGGTTTGGTGCTCAGGGCGTCGCAGAGATTAAGGCGCAAATCTATTAACCGAATAATTCGTGGTTCGACTCCAGCACTGTGTCCGGAGGCGAGCTTTTTGAAATAGCCGAATATCAAGTCAAACGGGGATACGTCCTCAGAATGGGGGGGGGGAAGCAGAATCGGCTTGCTTCGGCGCTTCTTGCCTCGACGAAAAATCCAAAGTGACCTTGTGAAGACTTCTCTAACCCAGTAAACGAGAGATTCAGCTGGGTTCCAAGTGAGTCTCTCGAAAAAAACAAATTAGTTTGCAAATGAGCGTATATTCGCTAATTTCGTGCAATTTGGTTTCAAGTAGAACCTAAGGTTGACGGAAACCCGGGAACTGCGTCTACCTGATGAGCCCCAAAAAGAGCGAAGCCGGTCGTGGGCTGTCGACGGATTTTCAACAACCTTATGAGTAGTACATTACAAAGATATACATGTATCGCAATATTTCAAATATCGTAGCGACTGAAACATGAGGCGGCCTGGTGCAGCACATTCAGTTGCCTGAGAACATCATAAACGAGAGATTCAGCTGGGTTCCAAGTGAGTCTCTCGAAAAAAACAAATTAGTTTGCAAATGAGCGTATATTCGCTAATTTCGTGCAATTTGGTTTCAAGTAGAACCTAAGGTTGACGGAAACCCGGGAACTGCGCCTACCTGATGAGCCCCAAAAAGAACGAAACCGGTCGTGGGCTGTCGACGGATTTTCAGCAACCTTATGAGTAGTACTTCTCTAACACTTTTGGCCATCTCAAGATGCCGTACCTTTTAGTACACAATAGTTGTCCAGACAGCAAGTCAGGGACGAGTATGGGAGTCGCAATTCACATCTTTTCTGGACAAGTCAGTTTAGATGAACCTTGGTGGAAAGCATCCTTCTCGAGATCGGGAATGAGTTCCATTGGGGCATAAGCTGACATTACGGAGGCAGCAATTTTGTCCAGTGTTGTTGGGCTTGACTGAACTGGCTAACCCAACAGAATTTAATCAAGCGAAGTGGGTTCAATCCCGGGGCTGAGTGCAGCTCCCACACCATGAATTCCACGAGTCACTGCTTCTGGATTACGAGAAATACGGGGATAAAATATAGAAGAACTAAGTTCGCCCCGAGCGCCTTAAGATGCACGATCATGCTTGAGTTGTGTGCTTGTATCCAAAATAGCACACGCCAACTTTGAGAGTGTGAGGTTTGGACAAGAATGTCTGTTTTCCAGTTCGGCAAGGTGCGGAAGTTGAAGGCTCTTGTGTAGAAAGGACATCATTGATCTAGCAGTGTTATTTTGTTCGATGAGATACAATTATTAACCAACTGATTCAGCGATGATATTTTCATCCAAATTGGAAGGACACAGTGGTTTTATTGACATGCATCATTTGTGGCATAGGCATGACATCAGCTTAGCTGTCAAGGGTAGAACCTGCAATACTGTATTGAATTCCATACTGTTCTATGGGTCAGAAACCAGGCCTCTGTGCCTTGGAGACGTTAAAGAACTGTCAGCATCTGATCACCGTTGCCTTCACAGATTGGTGGGAATATTGCACTGATACTGTTGGAGTACGTCAACTGGTTTTCGGAGTAAACAACTCCGAATTTGATCACACTCCATAGGTTGCACTGGCTTGGTCACGTGTTCCTATGTTAGTAGACCGGGTTCAACGGAGGGACGTTTCCGCACACCCGTGCAAGGAGTGGAAACGGGCCAGAAGAGGTTAAGCAACTAATCGGCAGCGAAGTATGAGAGCCATTGCCATTTGACTCAGCGAACTCCTTGGATGGGACTCTAAGACGAAGCACAGCAATGGAGAGAGACTGATAGTTGTGGCCCCGTCTCGTGAGCTCAATAACGCGTAGACATCCAAATCGTTGCCCTCAATGCACAGCTTTGAACTCCGAACCCCAACGGAAAGCCTTGTCACTTCTGGATTTAAAAACCAACGATATGACTTATCACCTCCACATAGTAGATCTCAATCCCTGTTCTTCCAGACCATTGGTAAGGGCAACTGTGGTAGCTACGACCACCATACAATATGTACGCGGTTTACGGCTGAAGTGGTGGTATTTGCTGAGGCTTAGTAAATACACCAACATCGGTTTGCCTCCTGATGTACTCATGATTGTTTTTACAAGTTTGCAGGGAGAATTTAGTTGAGTGTGAACACCCCTGCAGGATATCTGTTCACGAACACGACTGTAATAATTTCTGTGCATATTTGTTTCAGTTGTTTCACTGCTCTACTTTATATACAGGATTCGCTACACATGAATATTTTGTGAGAAAGTCCTCTTAAAATCCGGCAAACTGGAGTTAACCCTCTTTATTTTGGTTTTACACGAGGGTCTCTGACGCGTATACTATGACATCCAAATGCACCGGCTTCGCTAGAAGAGTCGTTCTTTGGTCGACACAGTCACGTGCAGTGGTTTGTGACAGATTGATATACAAGGCTTGTTACGATGTTGGTGAAGGTAATTATGAATACTTTCAAAGCTGCATTCCGATTACTGGTCACCATAGTAGCTTTTGTCGCCATACGGTCAACGATATTCAGCGCAAGGTCAACCTTCCCCGACCACACTGAAACACATACGCAGCCCATGAAAGTTCCGCGAAACCACTGCCCATTTAACCAAGATTCAATGTACAATTACCTTGCACGCACCCACTCCATAAACCAGATGCACATCGGAATCGTCTCTATCGACCATTTGGCTGCTTCCTCTAGAGGTACGGGTACCAATCGGCGAAGAAATTCTATGAGTGTTTGAGGGCATAGCGAACCATCTACAGTGTTCTGTAAAATGGGGTCCGGAAAATGTTCAGTCTCCCCAACCTCGTCCAACATTGTCATCGATGAAATAATAAGGTAAACGAAGGATGCTCTTCAAGACCCCGGTATTTAAGTCGCTGCTGGCGAGAACCCTGTTGATTCGAAGTACGCAGACGGTAATGCCTTCACCTATGAACACCAAGGCGAAGCACAAGCTCTGCTGAATAAACCGACCGCCACCCAGGAATTTTTTGACAAGCGCCTTGCACCTTCAAAGTGCACGGTCGTGCTTCAGAATGTGCAGTCCCAAAACATACCCATTACAATTCAAAGAGAATCCTTGAAAGTTGTGGGAAATTTCCCACACCTTGGAAGTAATATTAGCTCTGACGGAAATGTGTTTGATGAATTCAGGGCACTAATCTCAAAGACCCGAATCACGTTCGCTAATGTCCATCAAATGTAACGTAAAAGGGCATATCACTGGGTCGCGTATGCTAGGTTATAATGGGGACTGTATTGTATGATTCAGAGATATGACCTACGCGTCTCCAAGTTTTCACCACAGATGTCAAATGGCGTCAACAAATTCGTAACGAGTTAATTAGAAAAAAGGTGTTCGGTTGTGTAGCGGGCGAGATGGTTCCAGTGGTTAGAGCGCGGATTTACTTACCAGAAGGTCCGTGGTTCGAACCTGACCTCTGTCTCTCGACTTCCCCTGTCTAGCCCTCGTGCTTCCCCCACGTGGCATGGCAGTTAGGCACCGGAAGGGTGTGCAGCGGGTGCTTTTCAGTAATTCAGTGCAATTAAGCTGCGGTGGCTGGACCTCAACATCATCAGCAACAGTAACACCACTGCCGACAGTGATGCTTCACTCCCGTACAAGCACAGAGTTTATCTAATAATATATGAAGCCTTGCAACGAAAAGGAGGGAGTGGATGAGGGACGGTACCTGGTGCTGACCTGTCGCAAGCAGTAAGAGGTGCCAAGCAGACAATCTGGAAAGAAATTGACAGCAAGAACGCCACACATCGACTAACCACCCTTTTTCGCAATGTTTCCAGTCAAGCCGGGAGGGAACAAGATGCGTACCGCACCAAAAACACCCTAATTCTTCGTAATCTCTTCCCTACTCTTCTGCCAAACAATACTTTGTCCACCACGCGGTTCGTGTCATTCTGAAGGAGGCAAAGAGAACAACGCTCACCTCGGTAGGCGATAAATTGGTACGTGTAGCACATGGCCGAGCCACCGCAGCAGAGAGCGCTGAATATTGTCCGCGACTGGAGTAGCTCCTGTAATGCCAAATGACTATTTCACCAATTACGTCATTACGAATTGGTTGATGCCGTCCGACACCAGCAGCGCTTCCTAGGCAAGACGCCTTACATCTATCCGCAAAGGCAATCGCTCGACATCACCACCCTTACTGTAGCCTGGTACAATCAACTCTTGAGACAGTGATGCACCGCTGTGGCGCCAAAAGTGTGG